CATCTTTCCATAAACCAGTGAACAGTTTCACACTTTCCGCCCCCTCCCCCCAAACATAATTAAGCACGAGTAAGCCCGTGCTTACTCTGCTCATGGACCACTCTATTCTTCTCAAGAGTTCGACACAGAACGAGAAGTTTGGGTTCTGTAGGAAGGGGCTGTGGTGTGGGGGAGAGCCATCCAGCTGTACCCAGAAGCAGAACCTTTGATGGGATGAAAAGTGTACGCATTTTCCCTACAGATTAATGAACAAACACAGCAAGCCTGTGCTTACTGGGTAATGCAACACTCAATGCAGCAGGACCGTTGAGGAAGCTCTTCAGTGATTTCTGACACTTGCGATGGAACTAATAGAAATGCATAGTGCGATTAGTTTGTCAACAATAGACGCTAAAAAGGCTGTAGGGAGAATGATATCAAGATCTATTGGGCAATCATAGACCAGTGGGGGAATTTTATGACACTTAAAAAGCTGAATAATGATTTAGACTATGGATATGCACCTAATGTAATTATATCTTCAAAGGTGCATTGTGTTAGAATGCTCATTCTCGGCAGGCCACCTTTAATTTTTTTCCCCAACTTGCCTCTCTCCTACTTCATCTCATTTACATGTTTAAAGCATGTTCCAGCAAGGCTTCTTACTTTGTGGCATGGTATAACATGCACCTCACCATAGGATTACAGCCCATGAAGGTAGGCTTCCCCGGATTAACAATATATTTCAATGGCCAAGAATAGTTCTGCACCGTAGAAGGCATCCGTAAATATTTGTTGGGAAAATGCTTATGCCCTTTTTCAAAGAGCATAAAGCAGAGCCAGCAGTGTGCTTGTAGGATTGCCATGACCTAGGTGGAATCTAATTCTATGGAAAGTCCTCCTGGTAAAGTCAGTTGACAGATGTTTGTTTAATCCCTGCTGTAGGCCAAATGATAGCATTTAAAATTTCCCAGATTGTAGAAGACATGAGAGACCTTTTGTTTGACCCGGGGACAGCGCCTACATTGTCCACCTTTGTATCCCTCTTTCCCACCGTCATCGAATCCATTGTGGCTCATAGCAGTGCCACACAGGATTCCCAAGACTGGCAATAGATAGCTTTATTTTCCCCCTGCAGAGAGGTTGGTGGGTGTGAACCTCTAACCTTGTGGTTTGCAGTTCAAATCTTACCTATCAGTGCCGCCAGGTTTCCTTGTATAAACCATAGCATCTCTCTCTCTTTTTAAAAAATCATTTTATTGGGGGCTCATACAACTCTTATCACAGTCCATACATACATCAATTGTGTAAAGCACATTTGTACATTTGTTATCTTCCTCATTTTCCCCCTCCCTCCCCGCTGCCCCCTCCCTCATGAGCCCTTGATAACCCTTGATAATTTATAAATTATTATTTTGTCATATCCACTTTTCTGTTGTCCGTCCCCCAGGGAGGAGGTTCTATGTAGATCCTTGTAATCGGTTCCCCCTTTCTACCCCACCCTCCCTT